CAAAAGCCTGCCTTGGGACTGTGTGATGATGAAGACAGATGGGAAAGAAAGGCCGAAAAGTCTGGTTTCATGCAAAGAGGGTGGTGGCCAATGTTCCCTCTAAGCTGTGGAGTCCTGTGAGCAAAAATTCTGCTTTGTGAGCTCCTGGCATTAAAGTTGCGAGCGAGCGATTTGGCTACTGCGTAAATTAGTCTGCTCTGGAGCCCTCCTTCCTGAGCGGAGACAAAAATGTGTGAGCCGGAGGCTAAAAAACTGTGAGCTAGCTCACACCAACTCAGCTTAGAGGGAACACTGGTGGTGGCATCTGCAAGGCAGGTGTTCATGCAATAGTCATACGCATGAGGGATGGGGGTGTTTGCACAATGGGAGAGGCACTAATTCACACCGAGACTCATTCAAATGTGGGATTTGCTGCCAAGGATGTAGTGAGGGCCACAGGAATAAGCAACTTTAAAAGGGAATTAGGGCCCCAGTCACACGGCAAAGTTGCCGCGGGAGAGGCACGGAAGGTGGGCGGATTATCCGGGCGCGATCACACCCCAACATCTGGGAAGTGGAGCGCACCTGTGGCACACCGCTGACAATGCGCATTTAAAAACTGATGCTGGGAAAGATTGAAGGTCAAAGAAGACGGGGACGGCAAAGGATGAGATGGTTAGACAGTGTCAGCGATGCAACGAACATGAAATTGAGCCAACTTCGGAGGACGGCGGAAGACAGGAGAGCCTGGCGGGAGATTGTCCATGGGGTCGCGAAGAGTCGGACTCGACTGTGCGACTGAACAACAACAACAACCTCCAAGGTACTAGTAAACGTTTGCCACAGGCTGCTTCCAGACGCCGGCGCGCAGCATTCCCCTCCAGTTCCTCGTTTACCCGCTGGCGCCGAGGGAAGGACCTGTGCTATTCCGCCGGCGCGTCTGATCGCGTAATCGCGGATCAAACTGCGCCGGGGCAATTATCCACGCCTCCCCCCTGCGATATTCGGCCCGTGTGCCCGGGGCCAAAATAGATTTGTTGGAGAAGTCTATCAATGGCTACTAGCCATGGTGACTGAGGGGAACCTTCACATTCAGAGGCACTAATCTTCTGAATGCCAAAGCCAGAAGGCAACATCAGGGGGAAGGCCTCGGCCTCTCTGCCCTTTTGCTGGCCCTCCAGAGGAACTTTGGCCACTGCGTGAGGCAGGATGCTGGACTAGATGGACTACTGGTCTCATCCAGGAGGGCTCTTCTGATGTTATTATGAAAACCAGTTTAGTGTAGTGGTTAGGAGTGCGGACTCTAATCTGGGAGAACCAGGTTTGAGTCTCCACTCTTCCACATGCAGCTGCTGGTGTGATCTTGGGTCAGTCATAAGTTCTTTCAGAGCTGTTCTCTCAAGGGCAGTTCTCAAAAGAGCTCTCTCAGCCCCACCTACCTCACAGGGTTGTTGTGGGGAGGGGGAGGGGAAGGAGATTGTAAACTGATCTGAATCACCTTTGCGTAGTGAGGGGCGGAGTATAAATCCAATCTCCTTTTCTTCTTCTTGAATGCCCTGTTATTGCCTCTATGCCCTGTTATTGGCCCTCCGCGGAAACTGGTTGCCCACTGTGTGAGCCAGGATGCTGGACTAGGTCTGATCCAGTGGGGCTCCTTACGTTCTTAATGCACATGTTTAATGGGGTGTGTTTGTGTTTATGCAATAGGCATACACACATGCAATGGGGATGATTGTGCAATGCATGCATGTACGCAATGTGAGCTATGGCCTGATGGGAGAAGCATGCAAAGTGCCATGGGAGGTGTTCATGAGACATGTGCAATGGGGGTGTTTCTGCAATGAAAGAGGCATGCACTTGTGCAATGGGGACTATACCCCCACCCCCATATTTCCCCCAGGAGGCCTGTGAACATTTTTATCCTTAAACCATTTTCTGCCATCCTGAACTGATTATCTTATTGTAGGTTTTTTAATTTGTAATTTTGGTAGTCTTGTATTCAGTAGTGTGTTGTTGTACTGAATTTGATGGTAAGCCGCCCTGAGGGGGCCTAAACATCGAAATATAATA